ATAATTTATTAAAGAAGTTAGAAAGTGTGATGTTTAAACATATCGACTCTGTTGATGTCTTCGACAATACACTGGAAGATTTTTTTTCAGTTCACGAAAACAAACTAATACAATTTCAGTGTCAAGAACATCGGGACGATGTAATAGCTAAAGCGGTTTATTACTATACCTGCATGCGAGTTAAACAATATTACAGACAAGAGCAAGGAAAACATAGAAAGATGTCTGCAATAAATAAGAAAAAATCAAAGTTACAAATTTCATAAGTGCATATTGTTTTAGAAAATAAATATTTAGTTTCTGTATTACACTGAATTCTTAGCATAAAAAATAATGTTTTCCGGTCCTTGTAAAGAAAAACCTACCAACTGACGTGATTTCAAATTGTAAATCTTTAACTGCCGCGCCAATCTAGTTGTCTGTCCTTGTCTAACTTAGCAGACGACATAAATGAACCACGCGATGAGCGGCCGCCGGATCACCTCTCTATATTATACATCCGTGGTATGAATATACATGCAACCAGATTGACAAATTGGATTTGAAAATAGACCCTACAGTAGTAAATATACATATAGCATACATTGCATCTGTTATACATATAGGTCTGAAATATCTTGGGAATATTTGTAAAATTTTATTAAAAAGGGCCAAAGTTTTAGACTTTGCGAAAAACACCCTACAAATATAAGTATATAGGTATCGCAGATTCTAAACACAAAATGTAGTGGTTATATTTCAAAACAATTTGTGTAAAACAGGGTACGTCCTATATCTTTTCTAGGTACATCTAGTACATAGTATGAATATACATACCACTATCTGAATATTCAGCATAAAAAAACAATATACATTGAATATACTGTATATCTTTTCCACATTATGGACCAAAAACGCATATACATATTATATCGTGTGCTATTTGGGAAGTTTTTGTGCAAATCCACAAACGCGTACTCTTGTAAGTACTTGCATGCAAGAGTACGCACAAGGGCACTTAAGAGTACGCATGTATAAGTTTAACAAACATCACACACAAATTCGCCTCCGGAATAACAAGAACATGCCTCATGCCACCACTTCATACATTTAGAGCATTGAATCCAATCTTCTGTGGGTGGCTCAATAAATTGTTCATTGCAACCTGGGCAATGAATCTCTTCATGGGAATCTTTCGTCTTTGCACCTAATTCCACACTTTTTTTCCACGCACTTTCTTCCTTTTAGTGATCGTAGTACGTTTTTTTGAGGTACCTTCCGCTATTTGCCTTTTTGTTGTTTTAACTTTACTCGAGAGTTTATTATTCTTTAAAGTTTCATCGTGGTTAATGTTTTCTTTTTCTTCCAACATGGTTTTATACGGAGTGCTTGTTAAAAGTTCTGATTTCTGAGCATTTTTTTTTCGGTTTTGAATTGTCGTAATTTTAGGGTATGGTCGAAGTTCGTGTGGACTCATTATGGACATATTTTTTGCCTTCATTTCTTCATTACCGCGTGAATTAACCAACACGTCAGTTTCCACTGGAAGTATAAGCATTTCTGGGGTTGTTTCTCTCCTATCGTGTATAATTTGGTCATATTTGCAAATTTCAATGTCATCTATTTCGACAGTGTAAGGTTCAGCTAACACATTTACAGTATGTTGCCTATTACTAATAGTTAAATCTTTACCGAGAGTCTCTCGCGTTTCTAAAACGATACTCCCATCATTTATACGGTGTAGGTCTAGTCCTTCCAGTTCTTCCGTTCTATCGGTAACGATCGGTTCATCCATTCTGTCGGTGACGATCGGTTCGTCCATTTTGTCGGTGACGACCAGTTCCTCCATCCTGTCGGTGACGATCGGTTCGTCCATTTTGTCGGTGACGATCAGCTCCTCCATCCTGTCGGTGACGACCGGTTCCTCCACTCTGTCGGTGACGGTCCGTTCTTCCATTCTGTCGGTGACGACCGGTTCCTCCACTCTGTTGATGATGACCGGTTCTTCCATTCTGTCCGTGACGAGAGATGGTGCGAAATCTTCATCAGTGAATACTTGTGGATTATACGGAAATATACCAGTCGAAAGAAAGGAGTTCACTGCAGTTTCAACGCTTGATACCCTGTAGTAAGCGTTTTTGAATAGGGAAGAGACCTGCATTTTGGTAATCGCCTTCCCAGGATTGTTTACCAACCAGTTATCGCACAGTTGGCTGTAAGCCGATTTCAATAGTCCAAAAAATCCCTTATCCAAAGGTTGGATTTTATGGCTTGAATGTGGGGGTATTGAGAGGAGGTGTATGAAATTATCTCTGCAGTAATTAATCACATTTAATGTTCTATGAGAAACGTGGTTGTCAAAAATTAACAGGACTGGACTTTCTTCAGTTGGTTTCACATAATCTTTAAAATGCTTCATCCATTGTAAAAACAATTCACTATTAATAAATCCGGAATCCGATATAAGAGGCAAGGTTCCAGCAGGAGCCCCGTTGTACAACTCTTCTCGCATTCTTTTTCTAGGAAAAACAAGCGCAGGTGGAATGTAAACTCCACTTGCGCTAACACAGCAAACTGCTGTCACCAATTGTCCACGTTCTGCACTCACGACTTTTCTAACTCCGTTTTTACCATTTTGCGCAAATACTTTCGGCAACTTGTTGGGAACAGTGGACATTCCTGTCTCATCCATATTATATATACAATGCGACGGGAATTTATATTTTTCATAAAGAAATTTTAAATTTCCAAAAAATCTCTGGATTTGTGGTTTATTATTAAAGCCAATTAACCTTCCAATAGCACATTTTTCTGGTTGACGCAAAGTAATGTTCTGCCGCCGACAAAAATTCTTTACCCAAGTTTTTCCAGCCATTTTTTTTTCCATATTAAATGGATGTTGTATTTTATTCGCTTGCGCATACTCATAGGCAAACTGCTTTAAGTCTTTCATGGTAACACCATAAAAACGAGTGTCCATCTCCCTAACATAGTCTGCTAACTGAGCTTCCATTTCTTTTGTGAAAGTGCAACTATAACGTCCCAAAGAACTGGGAACAGTGTCACATTTCAGTCGTTTTCGAAGCGTCGCTTCGGGGATGCTCATTTCAGCAGCTATGCTTCTTTTGCTTTGCCCCTGTGACAACTTCTCTTTAATGTCTCTCATAATATTTTCGGTAAAGACGAGTTTTCGATTGCTTTTTCTTTTATACGAAGTCATGTGTGCAACCTATAAAATATTCACACCTGAGTCATGGTTGTATGTAAGTGTCAGTCAATTAATTAAAATAAATCAATCAACCAAATTAACATTTAACAAGTTTAATTGTATTTTAAAGAACATTTTTGTAGAGTACGAACTGAGTTTCAAGAGTACGCGTACTCTTGAAACTTTCGATCTGCGTACTCTTGAGCGCCTCGTTGTTCCGTTAAAATTTAGGTAATAAATAGTTCCTAATTATAAATTTTCGATTTACGCGATATCAAATAACATACCTGATATAATAAAAGGTTCCTGGAAACACTAACAACACTTAAGTTTGATATGATTTGTTAATAATAGCTTATTTTGTACACCGCAAAAGTTATACTGAAAACCGCCAAACCAACGTTCCTCAAATATTTCAGACATGTGAAAGGTTATGTAAATTTCTGTTTTACCATCCAACCTGCAATGTAAATAGTGTGATTAAAACATATTTTGGAGATGGCATTAGTAATCCTTCTAATGAATAGTTGCTGTGCGTACTCTTATAGACCGCGTACTCTTAAGTGCCTTTACCCTATATATAAAATCTATATACACTTATTGTAACATATTTCTAGAAAACAAGGTCATGATTAAACTAAATATGTATATCTACTACCCATATTAAATATATAAACGGGATACCTTGGTAATAACACTATATGTCGGTAGTGTAGATACTATAGATGTCCACTGTAGGTCTACAACGTTTCTGTACTCTGCACCTGATAAAGGATACTATGGATATCCATAGCCTTTCGGATCTTATGTAGGGGAAGGTGTTCCACAATGAGACATGTTCCACAGTGAGACAAACAGTTTTTTTTTCAAATTTACCACCATATCAGATTTATGTTTAGCGCGCTTAAATAACACCGCCTGCGCGGGATTCTCAGATATTAAGGCAACAGGTATCGCCATTCCGTACCAGTAACTGGTGGGCCTGTGTTATGAAAGGTATGTAATTTTTTTATTCCTCTGTTTCAAATTGCACAGAAAAATAAACCGATAGATTTATGGGCTTTTCATAAGTAGCTATGTTTAATTCATCCAAAGGTGAGGTTATGTTGCTTTATTCAAGGGCGTAGCATGCATAGTTTATTGTGGGTGAATTTTTGAAGTAGATGCGGAATATTTCTACAATGGAGGCACTTTTTTTGTTCCACAATGAGACAGGTGTCTCATTGTGGAACATTGTAAACCATCTATTGTTTTACGTTAAAAATTGGAATGTAACGATTTTTAGGGCTCCAAAATGGCCAGAGGTAGACAGCGAAAGACAACAAAAGGTGATTTCACTAAAGAACAGATGGGGCCCAGTAAACAAGAAAATGTTATCACAATATTATAGAAACATCACATAATTAAATGCAACATTTCAAATCAATTAGATGTGAGCTTTTAGGGAGGTTACCATAACGTTCTAAACCCTTACCGAAAGGTTGAAGAATTCAATGTTACAAACGAAATGAATAAGCAATGTTTCTGAGAGGTTACTAACTGTTTAGGTAACATTCAAAAAGTAACGTGAAATCAATGTTGCACATATAACTTTTCTGCAATAAGTACAGAAATCATATTCCTGAAATATGTAATTGACGACTTCAATACATTCTCTCAAAAAAAAACTTGCATAAACATTACATTTAAACATTTTGGGAATATTTTCTGCAAGGTATATAAATAATGTACCAAATGCATTAAAAATATATTGTATGAAATAAAAAGAAATGAACCTTAAAATTATGAAATAGTACATATTTACAATGCCAAATTATTTTGTTTCGCGCAGATGCCTTGTTTTCGCATGTTGAAACCATACTTGCACATAACTTTGGTAATCCGCGTCCGTCAGGGCAAAAGTGGCTCTTACTGCTTCTGTAACCAAAAATAAAAAAGTAAGTAAAAGGCCAATTGGACAAAGAATGAAATTGTGAAAGTTTAACTTTTGTCAATAAGAATTGTAAGATGTGGAAAACATAGCAGAGGAGGAACCTATAACATCAGCATCTGAAGGATTTGTTGGTTTTTGAAAAATTTTGAAAAAATCAGATTTCTCTCTGGCGTTAAAATATGACCTATTAACTGTCATCTAGGTACTTAATGCAATATAATAAAACATTGTTAAAAATTAAAAAATAAATGTATTTTTACCTCTAATTGCCATTATTAATTTCAAATCCGCAACCTTAAAGTTTCCTTTCTGCCCTGTCCAACTGCAAAATTGTCCTACTATATTTGAAAATATTTTTTTCAAACAATTTGTCACACAATATTTTGCGTTCGAACCGCCTACATACTTCAAGATAGTGATCTGGAAAAACAAGAATTACAAATGATAGGTACACATATGTATACTCAGGTATAATTTACATTTTATTCAAAGTAAACTGCATCATAACCAAAATAAACTGAATTTTTTGTTTAAAAATTAAAAATATTTACCAGTTTTTGGAAAATCTTATCATCTTCCAGTTTTGCCTCTAAATCTGTTACTTCTTGTAAAGATTTACATGGTAAATCAGTAAAGAGGTTGGGTTCGATGCGATCGAGTTGTACGTTTACTTCTAAACGTCGTTCAATATGCCGTAATCGAATGGACATTACATCCAACGTTGCTTTTATTTCACGCATTTCAGTTAGCAATGCGTGTTCAAAATCACTTATTTTTTGCTTATCGGTGCCTAAAACAATACATTAAAAATAAAAATATTTTCTTTATTTTCCACCACGGTGATATACCGTGCTTTCCACCAAAAAATATAGGTGGAGAACTTTATGGTCTTATACATTAAGGTGCTGACTTTTGTCTTATAAACATCAAGTGGTAATGACAATACTATTATGACCTGTAACACGCCATGGACTAATAATGTTGCCCCTTAATCATTTTTTTAAATTAATGGCCAAATTTATAATTAATCATTCAATAGTAGGAAATCTATACCTGTAGTGGTGGGTGGTGTTACGTCATAAAGAATGGGTATGTCCTCTACTGCGGTATACTCAATCACTGTAGCCTCCTCCTCATGTGCAGTGCTTTGGACAGTACTTGCTTCTGAAGGGCCATCAGAGTACTCACTATCATGAGCAGTATGTAGTTGACTGCCAGTTGCTTCGTTCTCTAAAACATAATTTACAATAACACCATAAAGTTTAATTAGTGAAGTGAAAAACACTATTGTGTCACTAGTTGCTACAGTGTAAATAGGCAGTAAATAAACACAGTGTGTATTAATGGAAAATTTTGCAGAAAATAATACCCCCGTCAAAATTCAGCTAATAACAACACTTGCTTTTTCAAAAACACACTAATGTCATGCAAAATCAGTCAATTGACTTATTTCTTGATCGGCAAAGCGATATTTAAATTTTTCTGATTTGGTCAACTTAGGACAATATATATTGTCAAAGAATGAAAAATTAAATTACTTACCACTATCTAGGTCAGTTGGTAGTGGTGGTGGAGATGACAGGCTGTTGTCAATATATTTACTATTGGGTTTTCTTTTCCGGGGTCCAAGGTCCACCTTCGATTCCGAGGAATAATTGGCGGTTTTGGATTCTTGGTACAGTGCTTCTTTGTAGCTGTGATAGTTGCCAAATATCTTCACATTATCAAAAATTACCCAATCAGCACCTGGCTCCATTCGTGTCATGATGGCCTTTCGTTCAATTTTTGTTGGCGGCCAAACTACAAATGCCTTCTCGTTTTTTCTTTGCAATCATTTTGTGGGCGCAGCAGATACGAATTCCTTGCCTTGCGAAAAAAAACCCAAAACGCAATACGGTAACTACAAAAGAATAACCTGTATAAATATTTATAAAAAAGTAAAAATTACCTGTATGAATTTTCTCTACAAAAATTTAGATATCTACCTACATATACATACTTAGATAGATATGAAATAAAATTTAAAATTCTACATTTGAAATAATAATAATACTACGCAAGTCTTACATTAACAAAACTAAATATTCCTGTAAACCTATTCCTTATTATGAATAATGGACATTAATATATTGTCAAAATTTAGTAATTTTGTCCTAATATTGTTGATATGGGCGATTTGTAATGTATGAGAAACTGTTTGTACAATACCGCAATTAAACAAAGTTGAAGAACATGGCTTTGAATAATATTCTTGTAAATGATCACATTTTTTAAAAACAATGAACCCTTCACTTGTTTCAATTTTCTTATGAATCCTGACAATTTTCACTATTGATCCATCCGTAAGGTTACAGAAGCACAGATTGTCTGCGGTTCCCAAGAACATATTTCCATATTTAAAACATTGATACGATTCTACCAGCTCATTGTTAAGAAGAGGTTCGTAATGTACGTCCAATTTCTTATAAAATTCTATTTCAGGAGACTTATTATGTGTTGTTAAATACGATCGTTTTTCCAGAGTCCTGTTTATAAATTGTTCAAGTGGGCGATTGCAAGTTTGTAACATTCTTTTTATCTCCGACATGTGGTTTTCAAATTTGAAGGCACTAAAGTTGTCCAAACTGCCAAATTTTAAAACATCGTCTGACAAATGAATGAGATTGTGGACATTGTGAGTAACATATTCGTTACCATACAGCATTCCATAATTCTCAACAAAATAATGCATAAGTTGCTTTGCATAATCATTATATTTTGTACATAAAGTTGGCGATGTTAAAATACGTATTGCACAATGGAGCGTCATAAAATGGGTGTACTGGTCATCATGTATCCTATCTTTTAAAACAATAGGGCCTGTGTAAAGTAAAAACTGCCTTAGTTCGGAAGCTTTCCATCTGTCCAATTCGTCCATAGTTCGTGGCCTTCGGGCAAAGTCCTTTGGATGTATATAATTTCTTAAGTTAAGCAATGTCGAATTAATGATTTCATAATCATCCCGATTAACCCTAATCGCTATATTGCCTTTAAGAGCCCGCTACGCGTATTAAATAACTTACGCATTTTCCGTTCAGCTCTTAGCGATTTTTTCGAAAACGGCGTTAGTTAGCAACATCGTGAAAGTTACGTTGGATTCTATAACCTTTCTTCTACGCCTCTCTTGTAACAGATTTTTGATATTTTTTAAATGTTAATAATTACGGCACCTGAAAATACTGAAAATATCATGCATTTCTACAATTATTTATGCAAAATTCGAGTATTATATAAAAAATCTGTTACAAGAGAGGCATAGATGGGTCCTTTATCTTTACATCGGTACCTAACATCAAAGGATAGAATCCAATTTACTCAAAATTTTATACTAAGTCCCACACCTCTACAACGCTACTCGACTCGTATAATATCTGGCGAAGCTACATATTCTTTATTAAAGAGGCGCGACTTAATGTGTAGTGTGAGTATTCAGGACCGGAGTCAGTTGTGCTGTAGCCTTTACTGTATGGTGCTTTTAAAAATATAATTTTTATCACCTTTTGTGAATTGTGAGCGTCGGAATATATACAGAGCATTAGATATACGATATACACTGAGCGAATTTTTACGCGGAAAAACAGGAGTGTTATTGTGTCAACAGTTTGTTTCTTATCGGGTGGATAACTTTTAGTGGAATTACACATGGAAGCTAACTACAGAAGAGGAGCGAAGACAAGGTTGCGGTTATCTATTCGCAGGAAGAAATCCAATAATATCTATAAATACAATGCGTAAGTTATTTTTTATAGCTACCAGCATGTAGTAAAATAATTTGTTCTAGGGCTCGTGCTGTTGGGCTTCCTTGTTCGACCAAAAATATTTTGCCAACATCTAGAACTACGTAAGTATATTTCCATAGACAATTCAACTCATGTATAAAAAATCGCATAAGCCGCAGTGAAATTGTCACTTTGACAGCGGCAAAAGTTACCTGCAACTTTTCCAGCGACAAATGCACTAGTGGTTTTTTCATTTATTCATTTTCGAACCAATTATCGCATTATCCTTTCCCATATGACTAGTTTGACGTCTGTCAGTAATTGATTAGTTATGTGAATTTCTTGTTCGTTAAATTGTCCTGCCGAATTACACTCGAAGTTTGTATTTAAACCGAGTAAATTTGTGTTGTTGCAATTCAAATCTGTTGCCTTTTAGCAATTGAACTCGAAAAACTGTCAACCTAAAAATGCTCCACCTGCGGTGTCGAATTTTTATTAGTTGACAGTTTTTCTCGTCTAATTGCTAGGCAACAGATTTTCATTACCTAAACAACCCAAATTTACTCGGTAAAATACAAACCTCTTGTGCAATTATAAGTGACAATACATACGAGATTTCGAATTGTCTGTGCGTCACCTTTGTTACTATTAGAAAGGTATTTCAAATATCTTTTTCTCAATCATACCTTACCTATTCAGTGGTCCTTTATATTTTTGTATTGTTGTCCGTCCGTGTGCACAACAACTTTTTTTATATGCGGCCGATTGCGCTGAAATGTGGTGTCAATAGGAACAAAAGTTATGAATTAATTGCTAAAGTAATGGAAGTCAATCTTTCCTTAGTGTGGTTTATACGTTTTCCGGTAACTTTTAAATTGTGAGCGTTTTATCCACCCGTCCGTCCGTCAAAATTCATTCAGTTTTAGCAATATTTTGGATTTATTTTTGAAAATAATGAAAAATCGAAAAGGAGCAATTAATTAGCAAATAAAAAGCTGTGTCGAGTTATAAAGAATTTTTCTTATAAATAAATTTTTTTATGTCTCTCTATTTCTTTAATTTTTTCTGTCAAACACATGTCCAAAAAGTCACGTAACTTGAGACATACTGTAATTAGGGATCTATCATAAAAAACAGAATCAGTTATTATAAAAATTAGAGCCATAACACTGTAAAAACGTCGTTACGGTAAAATAGTTATTCAAAATATGGCCGTAGTGTTAGATTAAAAACTAAACTTTTTTACTTGCGCACGCACATAGTTCTGGAAAAAAGCGCATTTTTTTAGTACAGCTACCACCTTAAATAGTTTGAGGACAGCGATATTTAATTAAATGCTGCCCATCAACATAATAAATCATCCATTTTTAGTTCCTACTCATCGACACGATGTGTTTGATAACCTAGAAGTGGGTAGTTTGACTAGAATCTACTTTTTTATCTATTTTTCAACATATGTTTTTTTCTTTGATTTTTAGTATCTTTATATAATGTTATAGGGAAAAGGAAAGTATTCTGCCAAATGTAGAAATCATTGCCAATATTACCGAATCTTCACCTGAATCCCCAGAGATAGAAAAAAGGAAAACGTAATATTTTCCATATCGATTTTTTATGTGTTTATCTTTATACCGTTTTAGGGTAGAGAACAATGATTTTCCAAATGAAGAGGAAATTTTTAGTGCTACCGAACCATCACTGGCGCCTATTGTAAAAGGGAATAAAAGGTAGGTAATTCAAGTATTTTATAATCATTTCTCGCACACCAGCTTCATACAAGATGTGTCTTCACAAAAACGAAAAAGTGGCGACTGTGTTAAAAGGTTTTTAACACACTCTGGAAGGATCACTTATTCTAATTCACACACAATTGCTATGAAACTCACCATTCTCATTTTGATTGTGACTAAAAAAACTTAATTTTTGTTTTAGGAATTCAACCTCAGCCGTGTCTATCGATGGGCTACGAGTAGTTGACCTACAAAAATTCATCGAGTCTTTGAAAACCTTATCTACTCATTCCACATTATTTGGGTGCAGTTTAGTGAATTTGCAAGTAGTAAAAGAACTAAAAGTGGGTTACCAAACCAAACTTACTTTTAAATGCGATATGTGTGGTTTTTCTAAATCTATACATACCTGTCCAGAAAGTCCACAAAGCGTAGACGTGAATACGTCAGCAGTTACCGCAGTCATGAACGTAGGAGGCGGTTACACACAACTCGTAAATATTACTGGTGCAATGAACATTCCGAGTTTAAGTTTTTCTTTATACAAGAAGATTCATAGTGAAATATGCACTGCATGGGAAGACCTTGCTTGGAAATCCATGAAAGAGGCTGCAGAAGAAGAAAAAATGATAGCTTTACAATGTGGCAGCGTAGACGTAAATGGAACGCCAATGATTACTGTAGTTGGCGACGGAAGCTGGGCCAAGCGTTCATACAGAGGGACAGGAAATTATAATTCCCTTTCTGGAACTGCTGCAATAGTAGGGTTAAAATCAAAAAAGATTCTGTATTTAGGTGTTAAGAACAAGTACTGCTGTGTATGCCAAAGGGCTAAAAATATCGGCACTGAAGCTGCCGCGCACACGTGCTATAAAAACTGGAACCTTTCTTCAACGGCAATGGAAGCGAACATTATAGCTGAAGGTTTTTGTGCAAGCCTTGAAATGTATGGGCTTATTTATAATAAACTTATAGCTGATGGTGACAGTAGCTGTTACAAAAAACTACTAGATAGTAGACCGTATGAAACCTGTACAGTGGAGAAAATTGAATGTAGCAATCATTTACTCAGAAATTATTGCAATAAACTGAAGGAACTTTCCAAGATGAGGGGTATTCCTGGATCACTAAAAAATATTTTGTCAAACAACATTTTACGCTGCAGAACGGCGGTGGTGAAGGCAATTAAGTATAGAAGGAGTGAAGCCAATACAAGCTTAGAAGATAATATCAAAAACCTGAGAAAGGACATCATCAATAGCGTAAGCCATATATTTGGAGAACATTTGAATTGTTCGGAATTACGCTATTTTTGTGAAAAAACGGAACCTGACCAAAATAATTACATGTCTGATTTTCGAACATTAAACCTCGATGAAAAGCTAATGGACGCAGTAAGGTATTTGGCAGGACACTCTAGAAGCTTACTCGAAAACGTTACGACAAATGTAGTAGAACAGTTTAATTCAATTATTGCACAAAAACTTGGCGGAAAACGTGTGAACTATACCCAGCGAAGATGTTACCAAGGCCGATGTTACTGTATAGCCCCGGAAAGACAGTACAAGAAATGGAAATGCGTAAATTAAGAAGGCAAAATGTTCACAAGCAAAGCAGAGCCAGAAAAAAATTAATATTTTCTTCTGCCTCCACAGACGCTGACTATGGAGATAATTGCCAGAAGCCAGATGTTGATCAAGAGACGTTTGAGGAAATGAAAAGCGAGTTTATAAGAGCACTTCATAAATCAACAGCTGAATATGAAGAAATTGAAAAGAAAACGCGTCTACAAGCCGATTCATCTGAATGGAAGCACTATCGAAGAAAATTATTAACATCCTCCATATTTGGAAAAATTTGCAAAATGCGAAAATCAACAAGTTGTTCATCAACTGTAAAAGGCACTTTGTATACAGAATTTTTTTCGAAGGCAACGACCTGGGGAAAAAATAATGAAGACCGAGCAAAACGAGAATTAGAATCAAAATTTGGTTTGCAAATTTCCAGCTGTGGCCTTTTTATAAATGAAGATTGGCCATTTCTTGGTGCTTCTCCAGATGGAATTGAAGTGAATTCAGGATGTCTGGTAGAAATTAAATGTCCGTACTCAGCCAGAAACAATACTATTAAAGAAGCAGTTGCAAATAAACTGATAACATATTTGGACATAGAAGGTGATACCTATAATTTAAAGACCAGTCATAATTATTACTACCAAGTCCAGGGGCAATTGAATATATCAGACAAAGAACAATGTTATTTTGCGGTATGGACTCCAAAGGAAATTGTCTGTATAAAAATTCCAATTGATAGAACTTTTTTTATAAATTCAATGCTACCAAAATTACATAAATTTTATTTTAATTGTCTCTTGCCTGAAATTATAGACCCTAGACATACAAGAGGATTAGAAATAAGAAACCCGGAGTATATAACCAATGCACAAAGTGATAAAGTAAACACCTAAAAACACTATACAGCGTGTTTCAAAATGAATAGAGGGGTTTCAACATGTTATAATATTTGATAGATGAAACTTACAGCCACAAGTGATATATCAACTGAAAGAGAAACTCAAACAGTTTTTGTTTGTTGGCATCAGTGCGTATGTTTCCGCCGCAATCCGCTAGAAAGCGCTAATAGCAAAGATGGCGACTAAAGAACAGAAAGCGTTTTGTGTTTTACAGTTTGCAAAGACGGAATCTGTTGTTACTGTGCAACGTGCGTTCCGGATTAAGTTCGGTTGTGCTCCTCCAGGTGATAACAACATTCGTAGATGGTATCATCAGTTTCAAGACACTGGCTGCCTTTGTAAAGGCAAGAGTACGGGACGACCACGAACTAGTGAAGAGAGCGTTGAGCAAGTGCGTAATTCGTTGACGCGTAGCCCTATGAAATCCGTTCGGAAGGCTAGTCGTGAATTAGCAATTCCTGTGACGACTGTTTGGAGAGTTTTACGGCGACGCTTACAGCTACGTCCTTATCGTTTGCAGTTGTTACAGGCTCTGAAGCCTACCGACCATCTTTTACGTGCCAACTTCGCTAACGACATGTTGTTGCATGACAATGAAGATTTTCTGGATCTTGTCGTCTTCAGTGATGAATCGACCTTTCACCTTAGTGGTCGAGTTAACACCCATAATGTTAGGATTTGGGGCTCAGAAAATCCCCACATGATGGTACAAGTGCAACGAGACTCTCCTAAATTGAATGTTTTTTGTGCCATATCTCGGCAGAAAATTTATGGTCCTTTCTTTTTTGGTGAAGCAACTATCACTGGTACTTCTTATCTGGATACGTTACAGCAATGGCTCTTCCCTCAACTGACACATGATGAACCACAAAACTTCATCTTTCAGCAAGATGGTGCGCCGCCTCACTGGCATAATGAGGTACGCGATTGGCTTAACCTAACTGTACCCTACCGCTGGATTGGCCGTAAGGGGCCTAATGACAGGGCTTGTTTCGCATGGCCTCCACGGTCACCCGACCTAACCCCGTGTGATTTTTATCTTTGGGGGTTTATTAAGGACCGTGTGTATGTGCCTCCACTGCCAGCCGACCTTCCCGATTTAAGAAACAGGATTGAAACAGCTGTTGCAGCAATTACTAATGAGACACTCATCAAAGTTTGGGAAGAACTAGCATACCGTCTTGACGTATGCCAAGTGACGAATGGTGCTCACATTGAACACTTGTAGGCTATAATGTAAAACTGTTTGAGTTTCTCTTTCATTTGATATAACAATTGTGGCTGTAAGTTTGATGTATTAAATATTATAACATGTTAAAACCCCTCTATTCATTTTGAAACACGCTGTATATAAAAATATTCCATTTTTTTTCCTTACTGCTGTGAATGAGTCGTGTATCTTATGACTATAAGAATTAAACCATTGTACATAATAAATAAATATTTTTAACATAAGGTATTTTTGTGTTGCTTAAAGCTAATTTGAAAATTCCCGAAAGATTCCCTTATTTATGCGTACAAAGGAAAATAAGTTGAGGCATTTAATATTCTTATAAATAAGAAACTTAGCCTTTGAGTAGTCTGCGCAGTGCGCATGCACACACCTAATGTTTACAATATGCGATATGTTTGCCTTTACTAGATGAATCTTCGGTTAAAATTTCCAAAAAATATCTATAAATCTGATTTTTACAATATACGATTGTTGCGCCTAAGTTGGTGTTTATTTTTGTAGATATGTGTTAATACTTCCAATATATATATATCGATGGAAGGGTGAGCGTGAGGATGTTATATTTGATGAAATATGGTCGCCATGACTCCCGCTGCTTTATGCCCAATAAACATCGTATTATACGTTTTTGTACCTAGGTTTTCGCAAAACTGCAAGGTAATATCTAATCTTTTAAATTTACTGAGTTGACTGATTGCTGGTACGCAAAAATTCATCCAGAATAGTAGGAACAATTGTAACTATTTTTTATCACGAAATTTATTTCCTAACTAAGTAAGCCTCAATTTTGAGTTATCGGGCATGGAGTCAGAACAACTAACACAAGTTAAACCCGAGGCTAAACCACTTGTTACAATTTTCAAATGGTTCACGATGAAGTACCGAAATATATTATCGTGTAATGGATTCTTAATTATAAATTGTATACTGTGTCGCGCAAGGCACTATCCGGTATGGTATAGCAGTGCAAATTTGAAAGTACGCGTACCTTACGAATAAGTTCAAATACGTTCCTTTCAAATCGGTCAGAAAATACTGCAGTAGGGATATGCTAATGCCCGCCTCCGACTGCGATCCTCTCCACCCGACCGCGGAGCGCTTCCCTAGCCGTATGTAGAGAACGTACTCTTAAGAACATAAGTTGATATTTCGCGTCCTAAGTGTACTGGCATTGGTGATGGATTCAACTCCAAGTACCAGTAAAGCAAGCTTGTCTCCTTTGAAAAAACGTAGTCGCTTAAACTTAGGTCATTTTATCAGTCTCCGAGAAGCAGTTTATTATAAACAAATGTTGTCTGATTCCCGGATATGAATTTTGCTACGCTTGTGTTGAAGATTGCATCTACCAGAGGTAACGTAAATAATGATGTAGCTGGTATATATTTGGTTATTAAAGTGTGACACATATTAGGAATATTATTATTGCACGATCTACAATATACCGGATAATTAAAGAATATCGAAGTACTGGGATTGTTACCCCTTCGAAACGTTCCGGTGGTCATAACGCTGTTGCAAATGTGAGCTCTGACGATTGGCGGAATTGTGTGCAACACGTTACTAAGGAAGAAAATAAGATGTGTAGATTGGATGGCCTAATGAACACACTTATAGAACCATTAATTATTTCACTCGGATCGGAGGACAGTGACAGTTTTAGTGAACTTTCGGAAGACGGTGACTAAATCGCTTACCTATACATAAAGCAGTGAACTGTGCTGTTTAATAATATGACTATAATTCCATTGTTCTGAATTTGTTCAATAACTTAACATTTGTTGTAAATTGTAATGTGGATTATAATTATAATTCAAAATAATGTTTCAAAGACCAAAAAATGTATGCAGGATGATTACCTATTATCAATGTATTACCTATTTATTATAATTCGCTTTTAAAAGTATGATGTATGCATAATATAAAGGAGTTCCTACCAAATAATAACCCAAAAGCATAAATCATGAAATCTATCCAAATGTGAAAGAAAATCACATCACGCAACCCACAATACATGTCTGTATAAAATGAGTCTATTATTTTTGTTACTAGATTCTAGTGACATTTCCAGTGTAAATCAGGTTTTTAAATCCGTCTTCCTAGTTAAAAAACAGAGTATAGTACTGTAATATTTTTGCCTGACCCCCATTACAGTCCTAGTACAGGCAAAATAACAATTAGATCGTTCATTGATTCAACGATTGGATAATTATAATGCAGACTATGTGGATATTTTTAAATATTAATATACCTACACAAAGGATAATGGTTTTTTAATTACTAACAATTAATGGAATATATTATGTGGAAGTAACTATTCCTTTAGTTTTGCGCCAGTCATTAAAAGGTTTGTACGCCTTTTCGTGCCTCTCTCTTGACTTTGTGGGGAGCGGATATTGCACTACGGCGGCCGCAGCTTCGGCTACATTATAACAACGTCTCGCGTAGGTACTCTTTTTCACTGATACCTGCTTTTGTAGCTAGTTATAAAGACTGTATAGTTGAAAGGTACAAAGCATAAACTGCAAACTGCATTAAAAATAACACTGATTGTTTTAATTATTTTGAAATCTCTATGCAAACAATTAAATAAAGTTAGCATGCGTGATTAGGTATCAAAATTTCACACATATGAATAATTTAATTTGGAAAAGTTATGTTGCGGTTTTAGGTAAAATTGAGTCCACCTGACTTGGAGGCATTAAAGAGATACTCGGACGCTGTGCGTCCTCGTACTTTTCAGTAGGCCTCCGCCATTGAATAAGCACCTTAGAGTGCTTATTCAATGCCTCCGCGTCATGTAAATGACCACGTTCATGACTTATTATGTAAACTAAACTAAACTAAAATCTGACAATTTACATACCAACATAGTTTTTCATGATCTATTGAATGAAAATATTATCATCATCGTTTCACTTCCGGTTTTACCGGATGTGGATAGCAACGTTCTTATTTTAAATAGAACGCGCTCGATTTTAGTGTGTTTTCGGAATCTACAGGAACATCCAGCATCAAAGGTTTTCAAGTTATTCAAGCTTTTTCAAAATTTTTGACGTTTGACTGCTTTTTTTTAGCGCCCTGTAGTTGTACCTATGGCTCCGTTGACTTGAATTTTAAAAAGCCTTCCAAAATCAACAATATTCATGTGATTCTACATATGATTTAAATTTTCATCAGCCTCCCACATGGTGTTTTAAAACTAATCGTTAATTTTAATACCTTCAAACCTTAAAAAGTTGATTTTTTCAAATGAAACCTGCTTTATTTTTTTGCATTTTCAAATGTCGAAAAAAATTTTACATCGATTTATACCTATCTGTTATGCTTTTCGTTTTATTTAAGATTTTCTAAATTTGTGATCGTTATGTGCATAATTTTTTAGGAGGCCTTGAAATAAACGCGTTAGTAGATGTCATTGTACCATGCTTGGAAACATTAACTGGGGAAAACTACTGGTTTCAACATAACGGAGCGCCGGCTCATTTTACCCATGATGCTTCTACTTCTATGTCTAACATTTTTGAAGACAGATGGATTAGGCCTACATATCCGCGTTATTGGTCTTCTAGATCTCCAGATATATCGCCACTGGACTTTTATATGTAGGGTCTGATAAAAAAGGTCGGTTCGGTTACGATATCATCGACCGGTTCGGATCGACTACAACGCGTAATGTTCGAAGAGCCAAAAATTGCCGATCGCCGACACACATTGGCAAGAGTTTTGAGCGTTAGGGTTCTGCGTTGTAGCATTCGAGCCCAATACAAACCGGTCGATGATATCGTAACCGAAACGACGCGACGCAGTGCGCGGAAATCGATCGGTGCCGTCGAGCCGTGTCGAGTCGATCCGAGTCGATTCAATGCGAAAGTCTATAGATCGTCTCACGTAAAAAAGGAATCGGGAGAAAGTAGTGTAACCTCCCACTAAGTTTATTGTTCATCTCAATGTCGCTGTGCTTTGAATAAAGATAGGTATAAAACTGGTAATTATTCGGGCCGTTGGAACCACCCTCTAGACTCCCAATGAATGAGCGAAGTGTTTATAACCGCATAGATGTTTATAATTTGAATGGTCAACTGTATAAGCATTCAAATTATAAACATCTATGCGGTTATAAACACTTCGCTCATTCATTGGGAGTCTAGAGGGTGGTTCCAACGGCCCGAGTAATTACCAGTTTTATACCTATCTTTATTCAAAGCACAGCGACATTGAGATGAACAATAAACTTAGTGGGAGGTTACACTACTTTCTCCCGATTCCTTTTTTACGTGAGACGATCTATAGTCGAAATACAGTGAAACGATGTGACGGGGACGCTGGACGCAGTCATAACTTTCTTTGGCAATCGACACTTTATTTATTTACAATAAGTCCGCTGAAGAACAAAACCGAAATTTTTAGTAACTAGATACGAGTATACTGAATGCTAAGCAAATCAGTAAAAAACTATCTTCAAATTTTCAATTGCCGTATATCATCTCTTCCTCCTCTCATTTTTCACTATACTGTTTAGACGACTTACTTCCTTCGGTTCTAAATATTTCTTTAAATGGGTATCGAAATCAGGATCTTTTGAAAAAATTTTATATAAGCGCTCGCCGTATTTTCTGTAATAAATACCGCAATTAACTATTATAATTTTCATAGTTTTCGATATTTACCTGGTCTCTAGGTGTCTGTCTGATAAAAATTGAGGAAGAAACTGGATGATTCGCTTTCTGGTGTGCTCGTGTGCTTGAGAGTGCAGAATTACATCAGGATCTGCTATAACTACTGCGCAAATAATTAATCTAATTGATGCGTTTCTTACGAGAGGATTTTTGTGGTGTGGACCTTTCAAACATATCGATTTTACGGCATGATAAATAGGAATATGAGTAACCATGGTATCGAGAGATAAATTTGCATCATTTCGAATGAATTTACTCGCATCTGCAGTTTTGGTTAAGAGCATTTCTACAATATCATCAAACTCCTTAAAGAATACATTTTAGAGTGAATACAGCGCGTGAATATTACTTACCGGTCTCCTTGTATCCTTCATTAACTCAAAGAGCCGACCAGCAATTTGACATGCAGTTCTTGTGACATGTGATCTGGGGCTACGTAGCAATTCTAGAAGTTTTTGATTTATGTTGGTCATGTGTGGATATATAGCATCAGGTTTAATATCTTGGCAAAGTTCTGTGATTTCCGCTAAGCCATTTAGCGCCACGTCCCTAATCGTATCGATGTCATAAGCGATAACAGAAAAATGAAGTTGTTATATTACCATTCTTCGCTTTTAACGCGCTGCATTGTTTGAAAAATTAACAGTTCTTTAGATGACGCGTTTGGAGTCGTTACTCCATTTTTGTTCTAAGCAAATTAAAAATAACACAATGCGACAAAGAACATTTAAATATACCTGGGAAGAATTTAGACGTAATTTGTGTAGGTCGTTTAACGTCTCATCATTCCTTTTCTTGGGAGGCAAGTGTTTTCTATGAGGTGTATTTTGTTCTTCGGTTTGAGACGCTTCGTAGTGAACGGATATGTTCTCTTCAGTCGCCATCTGAGCTTGTTCAAAGTATGGAACGGGTTCTTTAAATGATTCCATTTCCGATGCACGACTGTTAGGACTTACAGACGCTGCTCGTCGAGATGGCGAGATAAGTTGACTTAAAGAATTGATCAAGTGCTGCTGATTCTTCCGTTCACTCGACATCGTTGGCAACATGAAGGAGGTTCCCTGTATTTCGTTACGCGATGCCCATTCCGTTGTTCTATTTGTTTTACTGCAACCCTGGTTCTCTTGGCCATCTTCGAGCAGTTGGCTGTTACTTCGATAGCATTCTGAGTGGTTCTGCCCATTGTTGGCAACACTTGTGGACAATTGCTGCACATCCGCTTGTCGAGATGAAAGAGGTCCACTGCGAGATTCCAAATATGATTCACTTTTCAAACTGTTGTCCTGACAGTGTTGTAAGTTACGTAATGGAGATGTTTGACGCAAAAATCTCGTACGACACGTGTTCATCTTCTTTGCTAGAAATGCATCTATCAGTGAACCGTTTGGGTAATGCCATCCATTTGTTTCACGAGGTTTTTCATTAATGTAATTGCAGTGATTGATGTATTGATTCAGTGTATGTTTGCAATTAACTTCAGTACCCGTATGCTTTGTTGAGAAATCCGTCATACGTCCGTGTCCTTCTAACTCATACCCCACAGCGTATGAGTTCAAGTAATTATGATTTTGTACATTTCCGGTGTTATTTGGGCATTGGGGTAAGCTGTCTGGTGACAGATTGCCCGCTCTGTACCCTTCCGATCCTATAATTTCGTAATCAGGCTTAGTAGAGTAACTTTGCCTATTATGTCCCGTACATTCTTTTTGGTTTGTGTAGTTAATGCTCAGCTGACGACCATAAAGTGTGCTAGATGAACTCGCTGAAAGGTTGGAATGTAGGGCAGACTTCATCCCGATATCCTTAGTTTTATCTTTCTGGTGCAAATATTGCTCTTTGTATATGACTTGACCTAATGCCTTAGATGGTTCACGATTTGAATTGTTCATGATGACAGTGTCCTTAATATAAAAGTTACTCGTAATAACTATAGGTCTTTGCTATAGGTTACACTTACCACGCTTTGCACCTTTACACAAATCCGGTTCAATTTTTGACAGCTTTTGGTAATAATCAGACCTCTGATATGTGCCTCCTACGATAGTTTGCTGTATATTAACTTTCAAAGCATGATAGGTAATCAAGGTTACTTTATAATTAGCTTCAGTCGTTGAGTGAAATTACTTTTCACTCAACGCTTCAGTTCAGTATTTAACATTTTTAGATTTTTAGCGCATTTCCACAAAAATTAAAAAAATGCGCTATTGTTGCAACTTTGTCTGTCCGTCCGTCCGCTCGTTCGTTGAGCTGGGGTCGCCACATTGAACTCGGTCTGCCGCGCGGGCAACCGCTGGCGGTCCGCCGTGTTGAATTGTTTAACGCTTTTCTTATGAAGCATGTCACATAGGACGCGGTAGACCGCTTGTCCACTCGCGATCCGTCGCGCGGGCAGATTTGGATCGCCTCGCCAACAGTTTCTGGCGGTCTGTTGCGCGCGGGCTCCAATCAGAAACGAGATATCAGAGTGGTACACTCAGGCAGTGAAGGTGTTTAGTCTGTCTGCAAGCTGCAGTCGCCGAGCTGTCTTCGTTGTTGATTAATCTTGTGCACCCAGCAGCGCCTTCGCTGTTCACTATCAAGGGTAGCTGCGAGCAACAATAAATCCTTGTCAGAGGAAGAACTGATATTCATTCATGCTTACTAAGCAACGAACGAGACTGTATTAATCAAATTTTGTTACGAACCGCGTCCTGTGTGACATACCAGACCGCGCGGCTGATCGCAAGCGATTGCCCGCGGCGGGCAGACCGCGTTCAGTGTGGCGACCCCTTTAGCCATATAATACGCAGTGCCAAAAGTTGAGTCGAATCGATTCAAAATTCACAGTGCCCTTTTCGCATCTCGACCATTGATACCTAAACCGAATTGTAAAAATTTTTTTAAATAAAAGTATTTGAATGAAATTTGATACATAGGCACTTGGAATAAATGAAAATCTAACGCGAACTTTTTAGCGCAGTTTGTAACCGGCTGGATACTTCTCAACTCCCCTTACCGTTTCTTTTCGAAATATTGTATTTGGGGGTGGTTCTTCTTATCTAAACTAAGGGTTGTTGGGCGCCGGCTAGCTTCAGTCGATAATTCTTCTGGCCTCAAGGAGAGGGGAAAGGATAAATGAATAAAATCAATAATCTTTATTAAAACCTGTTGGGTTCTTTTTGTCTTAGAAATCGCCTTTTAACTGTAAGTAACACATATTAAGAGAAATGGGGGTGAGGCGGTACACTCCTGAAAAAGTAAAGTTAACTCATTCATACACAAAAAGTCACTGCATACAAAGGAAAATCTGTATTTATTACATGAATTAAATTCAAGGTATTTACTCCAAAACCACTGAGTACAGAAAGAAACTTAATTCGTATTTCATAAATGATCATCCAATTTAATCGAAAGTCAAAACAAGACTGCCGTAAATGCGTGTAGTAACGCTTCCAGGCTTGAGTCGTTAAAATGGACCCAAACAGTGCTAATAAGTACTGTTCTGAACGCAACACTAGTGGGTAATTAAATCGCCTTTACAAACATACCACTGTATAATAATTTTCTAATAATAAATAAACGACAACGCAATAACAAGTCCACCACGGGGCCAATAACAACGATAAATTGTTTATAAATACCTCTAGTTCATAAGTGCACCAGGACTTGGAGGATAACTTTGTCGCACGATCGATGTGGAAGTCGAATGAATTCGGACCGCCCACTGCGGCTGCTATTCGATTTTGAGTTGGACCAATCACAGGCATGCTGGTTTATCTTGGTCTTCGTTTGGTACTCTCCAGCTGGACTACGCACGTACCGCAGACAGAACAAGCCAAGTGTTACGACGACTAGGAGAGGGGTTGCAACTTCCACCCCACCATCCACTAGCGCCCTATTGGCCGCGTCGCCAGACGCCTCTACCGGAAATCGTTTATAAGCAGCGCACCGACAGGGGAACTTCACTTGTGCCTGGGCAAGCCTACCTTACCCTACACAAGCGACTGAGGCTGGTCGCTTGGGCTCAAGTACCGTCTCCGCACGCCATCACTTCCCGGCTTGACCGTAGTCAAGTCCGGCACCATCCCACGTGCCAGAAGCGATCTTATATATGTACATATATCCTCTGTATTATTTGTAAATATTGTGTAATATACGTTTTCAACCTCCGTTTGCCACTTACGTTACCCCGCCCGGTAACAATTGGCGCCCATACGTGTGAGTCAACCAGCAGCATCGCGCTCTGAGGATCTACGCCCACGCTCCCGCGACAGCCGACGCGCAACACCATGAATACGAGGAGCAGGAACACCCCGACGTCCAACTCCGGCGCCGACGAAGGTATCGACACTCAAACAACGGAGATGACCCCGGCAATCAACCCCGGTCTGGACCCGGCAACCCCGTCCAGTGGCGCCCAACACTCTCAACACACCCTCGACATGCTAAAGGCGCTGACCGACGCCCTCCAGAACGCGCAGAAAACCGCATCACCGGACCTACCGACCTTCAGCGGCGACCACCTGGAGGACCCAACAGTCTTCTTCAGCACGCTCGAGCAGACAATCCAAACCACCGACCCGGCGGAAAAGTTAAAAACAGCAGCAGCACAACTAAAAGGGGAGGCTGCGAAATGGTGGAACAGTTACGAGGCATTTTCACCGACATACAACGACCTAAAGAACTACACCCGCGAAAAATACGACAGCAGCAAGATTCGCGGGAAGATGCAATCAGAATTCTTCGGCCGAGAACAAGGAGCAGAGTCGCCGCAGCAATTCCTCCAGAGGAAGGCACAGCTAGCAAAACGGCTGAAGATCCCGATCGGCGAGCACCTCGAGCTACTGAGAGACCTGCTGCACCCACGCATTAGAGTAGCCTTTTTAACCACAACACCCACTTCACTCCTCGACTTGGTGCGTCACGCCGAGGAAATCGAAAACTGCAACAAAGCGCTACCTCGAAACAATCAACCCAGACCATCGCCACCAACCCCCGCCGACAGACCTCCCAACACACCAAAGTGCCACCACTGCCCGGAATATCACTTCCACCGAGACTGCCCAGTACTGACCCGCCGCCGAGACCAGGGAAACGGGGCAGCGGTCGGGAACAATGCCCGGCCGTCCACCTAATCCAGACTGCGACCCGACCCAACCTACCAACGCTGGCAGTCAAGGTACGCGGAAAAAGCGTAAGAGCTCTCCTCGACTCCGGATCATCCCATAACTTCATCCAGAAGGAGCTCGCGTGGAAAATCCACCATAGCAACCACCAAACAGCCGGCCTAGCGAACCCCGCCATCAGCTGGAAGTCATCGGCACATCCAGAGTCGAGTACACGCTCAACGACAAGCAAGAATCGGACGACTTCCTGGTGACACCAAACCTTGTCGTGCCCATGATCTTGGGACAGAAGTGGCTCCAAGAACATCGAGCGGTGCTGGATTACGAGAGAGCGTGCATCCACTGGGGAACCCATACAAGGCAGACAACACACTGGGACCAAGCTCCGAACCGCGGCCCAACAACGAGCGACTCCATAAACTTCGCCGGAGTCAAGCACGGGTTCCAACCACCACTCGATCGACGCCTGGCCACACTGCTGGAAACTTTCGGTAGCACACTTGCCGATCCTGCAACGCCCACAACAACAGCATCCACCACACATCGCATCCGAGTCACCAAAACAACGCCCTTCCGACTTCCGCCATATCGACATTCGCCAAACAAAAAGAAGGTCATCGCGGATGAAGTGGAAGCTATGTTAGCAGCGCAGGTGATCGAGCCCAGCACGTCCGAATATTGCTCGCCCATCGTCATAATTCAGAAAAAAGACGGCCGCCCGAGATTCTGCATCGACTACCGTCGTCTAAACGCCATCACAAAAGACGAGAGCACCAACCTGCCAGTCATACAGGAGACCCTCCGAGACCTGGGGACGGCCAAAGTTTTTTCCAGCCTGGATCTCAAATCAGGCTACTGGCAGGTGCCGCTAGAGACGGAATCCCGACATCTCACCGCGTTTTCAACCCCTGATGGAGCGAGTTATCAATTCAAAGTAATGCCGTTCGGGCTCAAGAATGCACCTGCTACGTTCCAGAAGCTAATGACCCAGGACGTTCTCGCCGGGTATTTACGGAAATTCGTCATGGTATACCTGGATGACATAATAATCTACTCAGACTCCTGGGACGAGCACCTCAAACATCTACACCTCGTGCTGGAACGACTGCAACGCCACAAACTCCGCTTGTCCCTCGAAAAGTGTCGCTTCGGGGTGCAAACGATCCAATACCTGGGCCACAACATCACGGCGAACGGGAACCGCCCGTGCCAGGAACACATCGAAGCAATCCGGACCGCAGACCGGCCCACCTCGAGGAAGAAGCTAAGAAGTTTTCTAGGATTGACCAACTGGCTACGAGAGTACGTGCCCCGGTGTGCCGAATTACAAGCACCGTTGGATAACTTACTAACAAAGAACACCCCTTTCCGATGGACAGCGGCAGCCGACGTCGCCTTTAGCCAGTTAAAAGCAGCACTTAGCAAACCACTCCAACTCAGCCGTCCGGACTTCGCCACTCCATTCGTGCTGCAAACCGACGCCAGCGAAAACGGGATTGCGGCCGTACTCTTTCAAGAACCCCACCCCGGAGAGAAAAAAATTATCAGCTACGCCAGTGCCAAACTTAACCACGCGCAGAGACGCTACCATATCAACGAACAGGAGTGCTTGGCAGTAGTGTGGGCCATTAAACGATACCGGCCATATCTGGAAGATAGACGTTTTACGTTGAAGACAGACAGCCGCGCTCTCCTGTGGCTGGATCGCACAAAAGACGAAAAGAGCAAGCTAACTCGTTGGGCATTACGGCTCCAAGAATTTACATTTGATGTGGTCCACTGTCCGGGGAAAGAAAACGAGCTTCCAGACCACCTGTCCCGCCACCCATCAGCAGAAGAAGCCGAAGAAGCCACGGCAGAAGACGTAAACCGCATGCTGCCACCTACGACCACACACGAGTCCAAACAAACCAACAGCACCC